ATTATAATTATTATTATTATTATTATTATTATTATTATTATTATTATTATTATTATTAAAATTAACTAATATTTTTCCACTCTAATTTTTAAGAAAAATAGCTGAGTAGCACTTATTATTTATACTTCATATTTATTATCATTTTCTTCTTATATTATTATTATTATTATTATTATTATTATTATTATTATTATTATTATTATTATTAATTACTCCGTATTACTCTTTTTTAAGAAAAATAACAGTAATTTTTATTTAGAAAAATAGCACTTATTATAAAAAAACACTTACTATTAATAGTATTATTTATTAAAAGAAATTATTTAGTAATTTTACTACTATACTTTTTTATAAAAATTATAGTACTTATTATTATTACTTTGTATTAATTATTATTTACTTTCTATTATTTTATTTTTCTTCTACTGTTTTAATATATTATTATTATTATTAAAAATTAATGAGTAGTTTTATTACTCTTTTTTTAAGAAAAATAACACTTATTATTATTTATAAAAATAGCACTTATTATTTAAAATAACACTTAATATTATCATTATTAAAAAAATTATTAGTACTTTTACTTTTCTAATTTTTTGTGATTCGATGTTGTTTTTTGCATTAATCACGTAGTAGTCATCGATTGCCGCCATTATGAATTACGACTTATAATTTATAACCAAGTGAATAAATAAATTTGATTATATAAACTATATATAAATATATCATACTAAAATTAATTTTTAATTAAAGCTTTAAAATATTTTAGCTTTCTTTTACGCAAGTGAAAGTTGAAAAATGGAAAAGGTCAATGGGGACATACAAAGTAAAAAAAATAGAAGAAAATAATATAATAAGATGTAAATAGTAATTATTAGTATTTTTTAAAAAAAAGAGTAGTAAAACTAATAATTGGTTTTTTATAATAATAGTAGTAATAATTACTAATAAAAATAATATGGAGTAAATAATAATAATATTAGAATAAGAAGAAAATAATAATAAATATGAAATCAAAAGAATAAGAATGATAAAACTACTAATTAATTTTTTAATAATAATAATAATAATTAATAAAAAATAATAATAATAATAATAATAGATAAGAAGAAAAAAGAGTTCAAAAGAAAAAAGAGAAGAAGAAAAAATGGGAGGATGGGGGCTGGATAAGATCCGAAGGCGGATGAGGAGGAGGAGAGAAGAAGAAGAAGAAGATCAAAAATGGGGAAGGAGGAGAAGTTAACGGAGACTGAAGTTTGACGGAGAAAGAGAAAGAATGCACCCGGGAGTAGTAACTTTTTGATATTTTGAGGTACCTCAGAATACTTTTTAAAAAAATAATGGGACCTGCCGGTTCTTGTCACAAAATCTAGGGTACCCTTTAGCAATTTTTTCTTATAAAAATGAACTTTTTTTTATTTGTGTTTTAACATTATTTACTAATTTTTATTTTTCACTATTCATTTCATAAAAAGATATAGTTATGTCATCAAATAAATTAAATTGAAAATAGCTTCAGTACTGATAATGGCATTGGCGCATATTGGGAGGTGGTGACACGAAGATGGCAACCACATAGAAAAAGAGAAAACACGGGAAAAGTGTTAAGAGTTGAAATGAATTAATTTTTTTGTATAACAATTTAATTTCAATTAAAAATGTTAAATGAAATTAAAATTGCTTAATGCATTAAAAGATTAATTTAAAATGTTTTTAAAAGGAAAAAAGTACACACACATGATGGAGAAATGAGAAAAGAAGAGTAAAAAAAGGGAAAAAATACAGTATTTTGGAGGAGCAAAAAAATGACAAAGAAAATAAAAATGTGAAAGGGGCAATGATGATTGATGAGGAGAGGAGTGGAGAGAATGTAATTTCTTCCTATTTTACTCGAATAGTGGGGGGCAAATTGTTTTCAATTAAATTTTAATTTCTCCTCACTTTCTTTTCATTTCTTCCCAACTTCCTTATAATCAAACAATGAAAAATTTCCAACCACAACCTCACTTATCTCTCACTCCCCTTCAACCAAACAAGACCTAGGCTACGTTTGGCGATGGAAGAAAGGAGGTGGAGAAGAAGGAATAGGGTGGAAATACAATTTCTAGTCTCTTTGGTGTGAGAGTAAATTTCAAGAATGGTACCTGAACTTTCACGAAAATTTTGAATTGGTAGCTAGACTTCAAATCTTTTAGAAAACTACCTGAACTTTTACCATTTTTGCACTAAATGTGCATTTGCCCATTACCAGGGGACCAGCACGTTACTTTGGCCAAATTGTAAAATCTAAATTTTTATTTTTCACATTGACCCCTATTTGTTCTTTTCCTTCTCCTTACACTTCCATAATCTATATTCTTTTCTCTTTCAACCCGCTCCCCTTTCTTTCTCTTCTTTCTTTTTCTCCATTTTTCTTTTATTTTTTTTCTTTTTCTTTATTTTCTTTTTTCTTATTCGCTATTTTTTCCATCTTTTTTTTGCTTCTTGTTTTCTTTTGATCCTTTTTTAATTCCTTATTTATTTTTTTTATTCATTTTCACTTTTTATCATTTCTTTCCTTTTTATTTTAATTATCATTTTTTTGTCCTCTTTTTTTATGTTTTCCTTTTTAGAAATGTTTTAACTGTTTCAATTTTCTCTGTTTGTTTTCGTTTTCTATTTTTTTCTTTAGTTCCTTTTTGAAATCTCTATTTATTATTTATTCTGTTCCGCCTTTTCTCATTTCTTACTTTTTTTTGTTTTGTTTTGTTTTTTGTTTTTCTTTCTTTTTTTCATTTATTTATCTGTTTCGTTATTTTGTCCTTTATCTTTTATATTTTCTGTTAATAACTGTGTTTTTTATGTTTAATCAATTTAGTTAAAAAAATCAAACCATACGTTTTAATTTTTTGTTTGTTTTATTTAAGTTTTTTTGTTTGTTAATGTATTTTCTCTGTTTATTAAGCTTTATTGTAAATAATTAAACAAAACAAGTGAATAAAATAAACCCTAAATAAATAAGTAATGAGAAAAAATAAGACTAGAGACTTTTTTTGATCTTATTTGTTTCTTTTTTTATCTTTTTTATTTTTTTAATCTTTGTTTCTTGATATCTTAATATTATCAATTTGTTTGGCTATGTGTTATCATGTGAACTTTTTTGTAAGTTTTTTATATCTTTTCTGTAAATGACCATATTTTTTTGGTTTGCCTTTTAATTTTTTTATATTATTCTGTCTTATATTTTTTGTTTGATTTCACTTTTTTTGTTTGCCATTGATATAATCATTTTTTCATAAAAATGAATTAAGAGTTTCTAAAAAAAATTTGTTTGTTTTTTCTTAATTTTCTCTTGTGTTATTTTTTTTCTTTTTGCATTTTTATATATTTATTTAGGGCTTATTTTACTCCCTTCTTTTATTTCATTGTTTACAATAAAGATAAAAAATAAACAAAAAAATTTATCAAACAAAAAAATCAAATAATTAAAAAAAATTATACGTATGGCTTGATCTTTTCGTTTAATTAAATATAAAATAACACAATTATTAACAGAAAAGATAAAAGATAAAGGAAAAAATAACGAAAAAGATAAATAAAGAAAAAAAGAAAGAGAGACAAAAAAGAAAACAAAACAAAGAAAAAAAGAAACTCGAAAAGGAAGAAAAAGAATAAATAATAAATAAAGATTTGAAAAAGGAACTAAAGAAAAACATAGCAAACGGAAACAAACACAGAAAATTAAAATAGTGAAAAAAAATTTAAAAAGGAAAAAATAAAAAAGGAGGACAGGATGAAGAAAATTAAAGTAAAGGGAAAGAAATTATAAAATGTGAAAATGAATAAAAAATAAAAAAATGTTAAAAAAGGATTAAAAGAAAAGATGGAAAGAATAACGAATAATAAAAAAGAAAAGAATGAAAAACACAAAAAATAAAAGAGAAGATGGAAAAAAGAAAGGAGAGAAAGAAAGGGGAGTGGGTTAAAATAGAAAAGAATATAAATTAAGTATGGGAGTGTAAGGAGAAGAGGAAGAAGAAATGGGGTCAATGTGAAAAAAATAAAAACTCAGATTTTGTAATTTGATCCAAAATGACCTGTTCGTCACCTGGTAATGAGTAAATGGACTTTAAGTGAAAAGATAGTAAAAAGTTCAAGTACTTTTGTGAAAGGTTTTGAACTTTAGGTACCAAATTGAAATTTTTTTGAAAGTTGAGGTACTATTCTTAAAATTTACCCCGTGGGGGAGGAAATAGAATGAAAATTCAACTTTCTACATATTTCTCTCCAAAAATAAAGACAAGTTTTTTCAGCTAAATTTTATTTTCCCTACTATTTTCTTTCCATTTCTAAAAATAAAAATTTTCCCACTTTCTTTCAACCAAACATACTATTAATATTAGCCTTTCAGATAAAATTTTAATGGTATAAAATAATTTTCAAAATTTTTAAACTAAAAATTACCGTTAGGCATTATTATTTTTTAAAACACCAAGTCTAACCATCTTATATTGTTCCTATTATTCATATTAAGGTAGGCTCGTAGAGTTATAATCCATCATCAAAAATTTCATTAAAGTCTAAACAATGATCATCTTGGATTAATTAATTCTTCCTCGGGTTTCCCTTTTAGGCAAGCTTTATCTTTTTTGCTCCCCTGGCGTTTGATTTGTTTGCCCAAGCGAGGAGTGCTTGAGTCGTTATGATGGATATGCACAGCAATTCAACAATTCTCACGCGTAAATTCTTCCTCTCCTTTTTCTTCCTTATACAAGAATTCCAACCAAGTAGGTAAAAAGAAAGGTAGAATTTTTGGAAAGGGCTTTTTTTGATTGACATTTTTTCAGTAAAGGGTAGAAGAAGAATATTTTTTTTAATTTTGGGTTTAATTCCATTTCCATGTGTGTACACTTATTGTTTGCTTCTTCCTTTGTCAAATGTCTGATTTAAATCATGTAAACTATCTATGGCCATTGCTGTCTTGAAATTCTTGCATTTATGATTATTGCTACTAGTATTGAGTTGGAGAAAGTATACTACACCAGAAAAAATGTCCCCAAAAATCAGCTATTCCGTAGAGCTGTGGATGATAATTGGAGGCTGCTCTCTTGGTATTCTCTTAACCGCAGCCGCGTGCATTATTTGCTACACATGGAAGGAATATAAGAACTTGAGCTCACCAAAGTCACAAGTAAGCAAGAGGCATATCCGGCGGAAGGAAAGTTTCGGGGAAAAGAGTGGGAGCAGTGGTATGATAATATTTGAGGGTTATACAATGGATTTTGACCTCGAGGATTTGCTAAGTGCGTCCGCGGAGATACTAGGGAAGGGTACATCTGGTGTCGTGTACAAGGCAAATGTAGAGGATGCCACAACTGTTGTGGTGAAAAGATTGAAGGAAGTGAGTGTTGGAAGGAAAGAGTTTGAGCAACATTTGATGGTTGTTGGGAGTATAGTTCATGAAAATGTGGCCCCTCTAAGGGCTTACTTTTACTCCAAGGATGAAAAGCTCATGCTTTATGATTACTACACCCAAGGGAGTGCATCTGCATTGATACATGGTAAGTATGGTTCATTCCTTGTTTCTTTTTTTGTTTTGTTTTGTTATCCAACTATATTATCTTGAAAGTAAGCTTAAAGGAACATGCCCTGGCTATTCCAAATTAAAGAGTTAAGAGGAAATATACTAATTTCTTTATAAAAACATCATATAAATATTTATTAAAAACATCGGAAACGTGCTTAAATTACAAAATATAATTGACATGTCCTGCACTTCCACTTATTCCTGCTACATCACCTACACAGTAAAAACCAAAAATACTGTACGCTTAGCATATTTGCTGAGTGGTACAAAACAATATAGGACAGAGTCTCGTAAAAATATAATTTTTACGAAAATCAATATCTTACTTTTACAGAATGAATTTTCATATATGAAACTACATAGATATAATTTAGATAAAAACTCTATAAAAATTTTTATCAAACTACTCAGATAAGAAATATTTAATTTAACAACATACACCCGGGGTCTCCGAATGTAGCCCTGAGAAATACTGCCTTTTGGGCATCATTCTCGCAACCTTGGCCGAGGGTTCTGTATACGTATACGATGAGCGGTGATATGGGTCTCCTACCGTTGCTCCAAAATACAAATTTAGGATGATCTCAAGTTTTTCAAACTTATGATAATATAAAAGTTTAAATATTATTCCCTATATATCAAATCATTTTTATAAATCAATATTTTGTAATAAATCATTTTTAAAACTTTAATTTTAAAAGTGTTAAAAATATCAATTTGAGAATAATATACTACTTTGTATATTTTTAAAATAACTTTATACAAAGAGTGTTTTTTTAAAGGATTTTTACAAGTATAGTAGTTGAATGGGAAGTCCGTGCAATACGATTTTGCACATACCTCGAGTTCAAGAAAAATGTGAAATAGAGTTGATGAAGACTAGTAAGGAACCGAGACTCTAAAGGTGTTACCGAGATCTACTGAAGAACAACAAAATAGCAAAAAGTGTCTCAATAACTTGAAAACCATTTAAGAAAAATGCAGAATTTTCGAAAGGGTTTCCTTACCTTAAACGAGCTCTAAAGGAACTCTTGTTGGCTCTAACTTCTTCTAGTCTTTTGGGAAATGATTTGGTAGGGTATTTGGAAGAAAATGAATAAACAAAAGGGGTTATTTATAGTTAAAAACTTGTAAAAACAACCAATAAAGATTACCTCAACTTGGTCATGATATATAATTTATATTATTTTTGGAGGATTCTAACATCATGAAATCAAGATCATATCAAAAAAATCAAAAGAAGTGTAAAACTCTTCAAATATGACATCAACATCCATTAAAAATATTTTAAGAATATTTGATGATGTTTGGATTGATATGGAGTAATTTAATGTGATAAAGTAACTAAAAAGACTCCAAAATAGCTTAGAAATAGATTCCAATAAAAAATTGATTGGGGAAGAGTTTGGATATTTTTGAGAATTATATCATTAATTTTCGTCTAAAGAAAAAAAATTACACTACATAGAGTGGAATTCAAACCCTGGTGGCGTAGCTCACATTCAGCATCAACTTCCACCTTGCTATTCAACTTCGGATTGACAATAGTGATTTTTAATGTACTTATTCCATATTTCACAGTTTTTTTGGCCAAGTTCGATTACTTAGCCCAAAATTAAATTATGTTGGATCCAATTCCAACTAATAATCCTAAACCATTTTTATAACAATAAAAATTTTTAACTTTGATTCCAAATATATTTTATTATTTTTAGATTATCAAATTAAATTATTTAAATTCAATTTCTTTCTTTTTTTATTATTCTTAACTAAATTTTTCTAGGCCCTATTTAAGGATGTTAAAATGTGTTTTTTCCCAAAATTATTATAATGATGATGATTTGAAGGTAGTAAATTGACATAAAAAAGCGAGTATTTTGTATCTGTTTGGTTTGGTTTTATGATTATGAACATTCACTATATTTAACATCAACTAAAGATCCAATATTGCACCATTTCAAATCATGTTTTTTACACATTGGTAATTTGCAGAAAATAGGGGCGCGGGCGGGAGGATTCCATTAGATTGGGAGACTCGGGTGCGGATTGCAGTTGGTGCGGCTAGAGGCATTGCCTGCATTCACGGGCAAAGTGGAGGGAAGCTTGTTCACGGAAACATTAAATCATCAAACATTTTCCTCAACTCCAAACATTACGGATGCGTATCAGACCTCGGGTTGGCGACGCTAATAGCCCCAATGACCAAACCTCTCACCCAAAGCGGAGGGTATTGTCCCCCTGAAGTGACAGACACAAGGAAAGCCACACAGGCATCTGACGTCTTTAGCTTCGGGGTCTTGTTGCTTGAACTCCTAACCGGGAGGTTCCCTCTCGTGAAGAATGGGGATGACATTGTCCACATAGTGAGATGGGCCCACTCTGTGGTTCGTGAGGAATGGACTGCTGAAGTGTTTGATGTGGAGCTTTTGCGGGGCCCACACAGTGTGGAGGACGAGATGGTGGAGATGCTGCGGATTGGGATGGATTGTGTCGTTCGGGTGCCAGACCAGAGGCCAAGAATGGTTGATGTGGTGAAGATGGTGGAAAGCATTAGAAGGGTGAAGCCTGGAAACCCGAAGACATGTAGAGATAAGAAAGTTGTACAAGAGCTCCCCATAGACATCCCATAGCGCTAACAATGCTAAGAGAACTCCATTCTTGACACCAAAGGTAAATACAAACACTTCCGTACAACAATAAAACTATTGTAACTCCAACCATGATCCTAAGCTTTGCACAGACCACATTGAGTCCCACATTGTTGTTGTCTATGTGGTTTGTACAAAGCTTGGGATTATAGTTTGGGTTACTATGCACGATTCTCCGCACAAACAATTGTTGTCTGTGTTTGCCTTTGGTGTCAAAAATGGTGTCACAAGTGGAGTTGGCCAAACTTTTTTCAAAATATTATCCTCATAAGCTTTGTTTGGTTTGAATGGACATAGTATCAAATAAATAAACAATTAATCTATTTTTACACCAAAATTTGTACCCCATTTTATACCCCAAAGGCATGCACCGACATTCCGTCTCTTTCTCTGTTAATCTCGTGTCTACATTAACTTCTCCTCATTCTTCCTCATTTTCGATCTTCTTCTTCTTTGTTCTTCTTCTTCATCTTCTCCTCATCATCATCATCCTCCTCCTCCTCCTCCTCCCCCCCCCCCCTCCGACTGCTGTTCTCATCCAGCTCTCCACATTCCCCATTTTCTTCTTCTATTTTTTGTTTTGAATTCTTTTTTCTTCTTAATCTATTATTATTATTATTATTTGTTATTAATTATTATTATTATTATTATTAAAATTAGTTAGTATTTTTTCAACTCTAATTTTTAAGAAAAATAGTGGAGTAGCACTTATTATTATTACTTCATATTCATTATCATTTTCTTCTTATTCTATTATTATTATTGTTATTATTATTATTATTATTATTAATAACTTTGTAATATTTTTATTTATAACTATTACTATTATTATGAAAAACTAAATATTAGTTTTACAAGTCTTTTTTAAGAAAAATAACAGTAATTTTTATTTAGAAAAATAGCACTTATTATAAAAAACACTTATTATTATAAGTATTATTTATTCAAAGAAGTTATTAAGTAATTTGACTACTATACTTTTTTAAAACAATAATAGTACTTATTATTATTTCTTTGTATTAATTATTATTTACTTCTTATTATTTTATTTTTCTTCTATTATTTTAATATATAATTATTATTATTAAAAATTAATGAGTAATTTTATTAGCCTATTTTTTAAGAAAAATAAAACTTATTTAGAAAAATATCACTTATGATTTAAAATAACATTTAATATTATCATTATTAAAATAATTATTAGTACTTGCACTACTCTAATTTTTTGTCACTCGATGTTGTTTTTCGCACTAGTCACGTAGTAGTCATTGATAGCAGCCATTATGAATTATGACGTATAATTTATAACCAAGTGAATAAATAATCTTAATTTTATAAACTATACATAAATATAATTTTTAATTAAAGCTTTAAAATATTTTAACCTTCTTTTACGCAAGTAAAAATTTGAAATTGGAAAAGGTCAATGGGGGCATACAAAGTAAAAAAATAGAAGAAAATAAAATAATAAGAAGTAAATAGTAATTATTACTATTATTTTTATTAAAAAAGAGAGTAGTAAAACTAATAATTGATTTTTAATAATAATAGTAACAATTATTAATAAATATAATATGGAGTAATTAATAATAATAATAATAATAATAACAGTAGAATAAAAAGAAAATAATAATAAATATGAAGTAAAAAAGAATGAGAATGGTAAAACTACTAATTAAATTTTTAATAATAATAATGATAATTAATAACAAATAATATACTTCGAGGTATTAGTGTCATTATTTTTTGGCTAGATTTCATTATTAATAGTGTCATTAATAGTGTCATTAAAAGAATGAGACTGCTGTTATTAATAGTGTCATTATTAATAGACTGAAAGATTTCTTGTCACTGTTAGTTCCATGGTGTTGACTAATCTTTTGGCAAAATAGAATCCCATATTTGTTAGGTGTTTTACTAGGTAGAAACCTCTATTTGTTAGGAGAGGTTTATGTTTCTAGAGTTGCTGCAGTTTTCGAGGTTGACACAGAAGATTAGCAATTCGGAGAAGGGTGTCTCATCATGTTGTTATGTACCGGTGTAACTTGCATCTAGTGATTTAGTGGAGGGCTATTACACGGACGTGGGCCCCGCAGACTAGGAGAATTTGCTCCGAACTGCATAAACATATCTGGTGTTATTTTTTACGCTTTTCACAGTTACAGCATTCTGCCCAGTAGGTGCTGCAACACCCTCTGCATCATCTGCTTCTGTGTGTGTGCTTGTGACAGAGAAGTGTTATAGCACACTGTCCGTCATCACGTACTGTGACAGTGCTGCAGCGTCTTTCTGCAGCATAGTTCGATGATTTGTTTGCATAGCTCTTAATTGGTGATTTCCGCTGCGCCCCCACGAACTTTCAGTCACAAAATCTAGGGTACCCTGCAGCAATTTTTCCTTATAAAAATCAATTTTTTTATTAGTGTTTAAACATTATTTACTTTATTTTTCTTTTTCACTATTCATTTCATAAAAAGATATAGTTATGTCATCAAATAAATTAAATTGAAAATAACTTTAGTACTAATAATGGCATTGGCGCATATAGGGAGGTAGTGACACGAAGACGGCAGCCTCATAGAAAAAGTGAAGACATGGGAAAAGTGTTAATAGCCGATATAAATTATTTTTTTTGTATAACAATTTAATTTCAATTAAAAATGTTAAAAAAATTAAAATTTCTTAATGCATTAAAAAATTAATTTAAAATGTTTTTAAAAAGTAAAAAGTATAAACACATGATGGAGCAATAAGAAAAAAAAAGTAAAAAAAGAAAAAATATAAGTGTTTTAGAGGAGCAAACAAATGACCAAGAAAATAAAAAGGTGAAAGGGGCGATGATGAGGAGGAGAGTGTTTAAACTAAAATTTACCGTTAGGCATTATTATCCCTGATACGAATATCGTATCGGGATAGGGAAGAACTTCGAGCGTCTTCGGGCTCCAAGAAGAAAGGTAGAGAAAGATGGAAAACTTCGAGCGTTTCCGGACTCCAAGAGAATAGAGAAGGAGATTAGGGTTTTGATATTTCTTTATTGATTTCATAATAACGGGGAAGGGTTACAATATATAGGAAGTAAAGCTACGCTAGTTGACCTAATGGGCTCGGGCCCGTACTAAACTCTAATCTATAGAATATTAATAAATAATAATAAGTAATACGGAGTACTATTTAATAAATAATATAACTAATATATTATCATATCATTCCCACCCCCTTAAAATCCACCTTGTCCTCAAGGTGGAGGCTCCCACTCGTGCTTCTGAACCGGAGAGATAATGCTAAACCAAAGGAGCAGTCTACTCTTTGAATCTTCAACCACCTTGGCTCGTGCAGCAAAGTGATAGAAATATGAGACAGGGCACATAGCATATGCAGTTGCTCTCGGTGAAACCAGGTGCTCCATCTTGACCATAGCGACAATGTCAAATAACTTAATGGTGTCAGATAAAATGGGAATGTCCGCTAGCTTATTATCTGCATCTGCCACCTTGTCAATAATATCAGGAACATTAAAATCTTCAATGACCACACCCATCGAGGTATTGATTGGTGTATAAAATCCATCAGATGTAGGATCGTGTTTGTAGGATGACTCATCATCACTAGCTCTAGCACCCTCATTTTCATGTATGGCGTCATACCCACTATCCACGATATCCTCGACGTATGGTGCAACGCGTAGTCCCTCAAACCCAACTGCATCCTCTAGAATAGGAGTCGGGAGTACGACTGCTTCGTCCATTTTCTGGACAAATGTATCACCTTTCATTGGAGACAAATTTGCTATAGGAAAAGAAGCGTCAATGAGGCTTTTTATACCACCCAACATGTTTGTTTTGAAATTTTGTAACTCGAAAGAAATCAAACTTGGCAAAATTGGGGGACCGCGAACCAAATCTTGTATAGAGCAAGAGATTTTGATGTCAAATGCGTAGAAGTCAGAATCATGACTTGGCTGACCTGGAGTATGAGGAAACGATCGGAGCGTTTTCATAAGTTCATCAACATGATCATAAACCCAACACACCCCTTCGTCTAAATCAATATCTCCATATAAAACATTTTCCAATAAATCAATAAGTCTCTGTAATGTACAAGTACACATAACCAAAGCTTCTAACCGTTTGAATCGGGCCTCCATGCGGAATGAAAATTCCTGCTGCATTTGATAACAAAGAATACTCTCTAAGGAATGATTTGAGGTAGTGGGCTTGCACACCTCTCCAATTGATCAAGCCTCACCAATTGAGAAATATGCAGCGATTCTGGCAGTAATTTGACGGCCCAATTTGGTCAAAATAGCCAAATAGCTTTGCGTCTGAGATCCCCAAATCAACTTCAAAAATAATACTTCCCGAATTTAAGGCACCGACTAGGAGAGAAAAAATAGTGCGTAGATATCACCTGGCTGAAACTTCAAGGCACCATTTTTTTTATTTGACGTCTTGCCTTCTGATCAAGGAATGCTTCTTTTCTTCCTTTTGATATTGTTGGCCCCCTCTTAATAAGATTGATCCCAATTTGGCATAGAGTCAATTGTCCACTAATGGAGCGTAATGAACTGCCCAATTGATGAAATTTGTTCTGCAATTTGTGGCTTAGATCTATGGCGGCTCCGCAATGGTCTTGCTTCGATCGGCCGCACGACACAAATCACAAATAGCCTTCAAAGTGTGGCAGTGGCTGGATTTCTTCTTCTCTCGCTATTTTTTTTTTTGTAGATTTGCACCGGCGGATCAACGATAGAACAATGGAGACGGCGGCAAACAGCGGCAACTGATCTCCTTTTTTTTTGTGATTTTTTTTTGTTTTTTTTTGGAGTTCAAAGCAATGAGAGCACCAATTGATACGAATATCGTATCGGGATAAGGAAGAACTTCGAGCGTCTTCGGGCTCCAAGAAGAAAGGTAGAGAAAGATGGAAAACTTCGAGCGTTTCCGGACTCCAAGAGAATAGAGAAGGAGATTAGGGTTTTGATATTTCTTTATTGATTTCATAATAACGGGGAAGGGTTACAATACATAGGAAGTAAAGCTACGCTAGTTGACCTAATGGGCTCGGGTCCGTACTAAACTCTAATCTATAGAATATTAATAAATAATAATAAGTAATACGGAGTACTATTTAATAAATAATATAACTAATATATTATCATATCAATCCCATATATCCCATCCCATTCCATCCCATCCCATCCCATCCCATCCCATATATATGTAAAATTGGGTTTATCTCTTGGAGTGTTGACATGTGGCATGCCACATGTGCATCCACATGTGCATTGAGATGGATGAATTTATTGGAAAAATTGGATATCATTTCTTTTTTAGTGATTATAAAAATTTGTTTTTATGAGGGATTATAGCATTTAAATATGATAACATTTTGAAGAGAAAAAACGAAGAGATTATCACATGTTAGCCATTCATTTTTTGTATTGATGATTGTTTGTAAAAATTAGTGAGGTAAAAATTGTTTATATGATTTTTCATGAAATTTATAGTTTATTTTTCAATCTCACGTATTTTTTTAGTTTCCTTTTCATGGTTAGCATGATTGTATTCATTGCATCACCTTACTTAGAGCAAACACAATGATGCCTCAAAAGCATAAAGCAAAAGGGCAAAGTTTGAAACCATGTTAGCAAGATTATGAAGAGCTTTGTTGATATTAAGAAAAGACTAGCAATGCTACAAAGATTAAAAAGAGGTATGTTTCTTCAATTCTCAATTATTGAATATTTTAAGTGGTTCTCATCCTTTCCATTGTTGCCATGTAATTCAAGGAATAAGATTCACCATTGACTTCAAATTGTTAAATAAGGTGTTTATCTTTTGTAAATGAGTTGTCTGTGTTTAAAATTGTCACAGATGGTCTATTGATTGCAAGTTTAAAAGAGCATTAAACAATAAGGAACTGACATAGAATGAAGGAGACATAATTGGAAACTCGAACAAACGCATTTATTGAAGGTATAAAAGAGGCTGCTGAGTTAGGATATGAGAATCAATAAAGAAAGTTGTTCGTGACATTATTAGTGAGAAATATCATGAGTCACCCGCAAATTATTGTTTGGAAATGAAATTTTATTTGATCAAAAGAGAATATTGCGTAATCAAGGTATTTCAATAGAAAAATAGTTTTTTTAAACATATTAATCCATATGTAATATATTTTTTGAAATCAAACTCTTTAATTGAGTACTATGTAGAACTAATTAAGTCACATTTTTTCTAATTTTTTTATGAGCATATAATTTCCTGAAAAGATCTAATGAATTTATGTCAGATTGAGATTGAAAAGTTGCCTAATCCAAATGGACAGTCTTTAAGAGAATTTAATTTAGTGGATGTCATTTCCAGATGAAAGTCTACTCAATAGATTTCAAGATAATTTCTTGGTATAAGAATTGACTATGATAAAGAAAGTCATATGATCTTATGGGATACTTATCTACAATGAATGAAAATTATCGGAAGATGTACGATGAAATAATAAAAACTATGATAATTGAAAGAGGAGGTATCTTTTTTGCATATGGTTACGGTGGAACTGGTAAAATATTTTTAGGGAAATCATTGTCTCCTTCTTTGAGGTCAAATGGTAAGGTTGTGTTGAATGACGATCCAGTGGCATTGCAATATTGCTTTTGCCTGGGGAGGACAACACACTCGAGATTCTCAATCCTTCTAGCACTAACCAAGTGCTCAAGGTGTGCCATCAAACAAGGAAGTCTGAAAGCAGAACTAATCCAACAAGCAAGTCTAATCATATGAGATGAAGTATGCGTATAATGAATAGATTTGCTTTTGAGGCATTGGATCACACAATTAGAGATGAAATGAGTTTCTCAAATAAAAATTCAAGAAATGAACCATTCGGAGGGAAAAGAGTTGTACTAGAAGGTGATTTTTGGAAAATTCTTCCTGTTTTACCTAGATTTTCATGAGAGGAAAATGTAGGTACCACCATCAATTCTTCAAAAATATGGTCGTATTGTAAACTTTATACGTTGAAGAAGAATATGAGATTGTATTCATTGACGTCCTCTTGCGCAGATAGGGAAACGCAAGCCTTTTCTAATTGGATAATCAAAGTTGGAGATAGAAAGCTTGGACACGTGGGTGGCCCGAAGGGTGTGCAAAGTGGCCAACCGCACAAGGCCCCTAAAATTTTAGGGCCTCATATTTTTTAATTCATCATTAATTTGAAAGCATAAGTATTCTAAAATAATAAAATAAGGCCCAAAATGTAGATTTTGGACCGGGCCAATTTCATTTTTTCATTTTTCGAGGCCGGTCTTGGTTGGACAAGTGATTGATGGAAGAACTGAAGTTGAAATTTCGTCCATGATGATGATTCTAGACACAAGTTAACCCCTAAAGAGTATAGTGGATTTCACTTATCTCAACCTATTGGATACTATGAAAAGTTATTCTTTTTTTGAGGATAGAGCACTACTGGCACCCATGATTGAGGTTATAGAAATGGTAAATGAATGTCTTATCTCTCATTCCTAAAGATGAAATGGTTTATCCGAGTTCTGATTCTTCATGCCAGGCAGGTTCAGATGTAGGTGTTGATGACGATTAGATAACAGTTAGTTTTTGAATAATTCAAATGTTCAAATATCCCAAACCACAAAAATAATTTTTAAAAAGGGGGTACCAATTATATTATTTGGGAACATTGACCAAACATCTGGATTATGTAATGTTACAAGATTAATCATTGAAGAGCTATCGATGCTTTTATGGTTTTGGGAAATTCAGTCGGGGACAAAGTTTACATACCTTAGATGAATTTAGTACCATCTGATGTAATTACTCCTGAAGTTCTAGAGAAGACAATTCTCAATAGTCTTATATTTGCAATGACTATCAACAAAAGTCAAGGTCAAATATTGTCATTTGTTATATTATTTTTAACTAATTCGTTCTTCATTGATGGTTAGCTCTATTTTGCTGTTTTAAGAGTCAAAACAATGACAGGATTAAAAATATTGGTTCCAAATGACAAATAAAACCATTGCAACCATAGTTATATACCCTAAAATTTATCAAAAAAATTGGTATTAAAAACTTTGTTGAGTACAGATTCAATTCCTCAAATATTATTTATTCTACTTTGGCTTTTTTGTCTATAGTATTAAAAATCATATCAGAATTATATAATTTTTTTGAAAAATATTGCATTGAAAAGGTTTCAGAATCGACAAAAATTTAGTTCGACCCCGTGCATCGCACGGGTCAGAATACTAGTATATATGTAAAATTGGGTTTATCTCTTGGAGTGTTGACATGTGGCATGCCACATGTGCATCCACATGTGCATTGAGATGAATGAATTTCATTGGTCCATTTAATTTTTTAAAAAGATCTTTTAACACATTTTATTTTATTACATTAAATAAATATTATATTTTTGTACTAAAAACATTACTCCCTCCGTCCCGGAGTATTCGTACAGTTTTGACTTTTGGAACTGTTCATCTAAGCACTTTGACTCAACAAATTCTCTCAATGTGTAAGCCTAAATATAGTCATGTGTGATTTTGTTTGATTTGTCTTAACATATAGATTATTAATATATAATTTCTATAATTTTTTAATATACAAATTACAAGATAAAATGGATTAAAAAAGTGTATTGGATGGTGTGTAAAAAATGAAAGTGGACAAATAATCTGGGACGGAGATAGTATTTAAGTATACTTTGTATAAAAAATGTCATTTTTAACAATTTTATAAAAATATATTTCATCATTGTAAAATATACTCCGAATTATATATATATATATATATATATATATATATCTGTGTGTGTGTTGAGTTATTTAATTATTATTAAAATAGTATGTTGGAATGGTCCGAAGACCAATCTTTAAATTGTACGCTCTGATACCAAACTGTAACACCCCAACCGGCGGGTTGGAGCGTTTTCCGGCCACCTCCGGCAAAATTGACGTTGCTCATCCCCTCCAAAGTGTTCGTGGCATCTCGGCGACCCCAAGGACCCCTTTATTGCGAGATTTGATGGCGATTTGCAAAAACTCCCAATTTCGGATTTTAGGATTTTTTCGAGTGGAAAAATTCAAATTCGAGGAGTTTCAGTCTAAATTGGACAAAATAATTTGGATATTCTTGATCCTCATCTCAAGACGAAGAGAACGGCGTTGGTCCCGCCGAAATCTGACCAGATTGATTTTCCGGCGACTTTGACGTGGTGCGACGGCGGCAGTGAGCGGAAGAAAAGAAAAAAAGAAATGGGGTCAAATTGAAAATTTTAAAATATATAAAATTCTAATTTGGCCCAAATGACCGGAAGTTAACCTAGAAACGGGCAAATGGACTTTTAGTGAAAGGATTGTGTAAGTTTAGAGATTTTTTTTGAAATGATTTAAAGTTTAAGTAGCATTTCGAAATTCCAGATAAAGTTCAGGTACCACTGGTGAAATTTACCCACAAAACTCACATCACTCAAAAGTAATTTTTTGCAATGTTGTGTGGTGTAAATCTTCATTTTGTTTTAATAAGGTCTAATCAATCGTGATAATTATAGATTGTAATTAAAGCATTAATTGGTTAATTACGTACGACACATGCTTTTTATAGGCTAGGATAATTGCTGGAGAAGTAAAATGGGATTGGAAATTAAAGGGGCACGGAGATACCGTGTATGTGCATTAAAAGCAAAGGATCGGAGGACGGACTGTCAGCAGAGATCAGAGGCTCTATAAAAATACACACACCACTCTCATAGTCCCCATCATTTTAAGCTTTTACGGGGTAGTTCTTTAATAATACTCCGTCATCAAATTAAATTTCTTTAGAAAACATACTCCCTAGATTTCATAAAAATATTTTCAACCATCTTGCAGGTACACCAAGAATTGTACCCAAGTTATACTTCAAAAGAATGTACCTGCATTTTAAAGATTCGCACTGTCACAAAAATGGTAGTTTAATAAAAAAAAATTGAACTGACATTTTCATCTTTACTTCATGAGTAAATTCAATAATTGGTCCTTTATAACAGGGGGTTTCCCTATATAGTCCTCTATTATCAAGTATTACCCACGTGGTCCTTTTTTATGGGTACCTTTCCACAAATAGTCCTTTTTTTGATCCTCTATCATGTTTGTGTTAATTTGAGAGCTAAAAGTGTAATTTCACAATGATAATATATCTTTTTTGTCATACACAATTTCAAAAGCTGTTCCGTTTGCGTCGTTTGTAAATTACAGTCGCTTTTTACGACAATTATAGTCTACAAATGTGATCTTTCGTCAAAATCCTAGCCCACAATCATAGTCATTATTTTTGTGTTATCCGCTTAACCAATATCAGAACACGTCACTAGACATAATGTTGACGTCAAATTATACTTTTAGCCTTTAAATTAACACCAACACGGCAGAAGATCAAAAAAAGGACCATTTGTGGAAAGGTACCCTTAAAAAAAGGACTACGGGGGTAATATTTGATAATAGAGGACTAAATATGGAAACCCCCCTGTTATAAAGGACCAATTATGGAATTTACTCTTACTTCATTTATTGTCACATGTTTAAATGTATTGATTAAGATCTAAAGAACAAACTCTTAATCATAGGCTTGCTTGGCCAAGCTTCACACCTTTTCATCTTTACTTCATTTATTGTGACATGTTTCAATGTATTGAATGTCACTTGACAAGTTCGTTACACATTATTTGTCATTCATCAAAACCTAACTTAGAAATCATGCTAAAACAAACAAAGCAAATATCAAAAATTTCCACACAAGGTCTAATGTCGTACTGTTGTCCCTCATGGTTCTAATATTTCTACGCTCATGTCTCTCTAGACTAAAATACCCTTCATAGTTTCGGTAAATAACTCTGGTGCCCCTTGTGATTTTGGAAATGGGCGCCAACGCCCCTCTCTTTTCTTCTTTATTGTTTC